GTTCTTTGCTGGTGTAAACAGCACAGGGACGGACCCCTTGTACTTGATTTTCCAGTTTTGCAGAGCTTTCTTTTTGGTTAGATTCCTAGAAGGGGGATTGCTGGCTGAGACAAAGGACTATACCTTTAAAATCCCAACGTGTCCATTACTTTCTGGAAAGGTTAACACACTCGCCCATTGTGCCTGAAGCAGAATCATTGTTTGTCATCAGCCCTGACTGGCCAGAGCTCCTGCTGGGCCGAGGTCTGGGGCATGGCTGTGCACGCCTGGGTGGCAGGGGTGCTCTGTTCCTCTCCAGAGATCTGCCTTTTCCTCCCGGGTGACCAGCAGAAGCCAGGATTTCAATGGCCCAAAGAATCTGGCCTGTGGGGCACAGTTCACAGCGCCAGCCAAACGCTAGAAAGGAAACACGCACACACGCGTGTGCCTGCGCACCAAGCAGGAAGTGCTGTCAGGAACACTGGACAGGGTTCGTGGGCGCTGCGGCCCCCAGCTCTGTGGACAGAGTGTGTCCCAGGTACGGGCGCTCCTGAAATTGTGGGTGAGTGTTTTATTCTGGTCACAATTGTTTTGCAACTTAACTCCACCAAAATTATAAAACTTGTGCAATTGGTCTCGTGCTCAAAATTACATGGAAATCTGTCTTGTATAAGACAATCAGAGTTCTGGCCACAAAATTTAACATACTTTTCAATATCAGTCATTTTGAAATGAGCATTGTTAGTTGATGCTGCACAGGACTGCAGTGGTGAAAGGCACCAGCCATAACCGGCAGGGCATGGTGACCCTGTGTTTGTTACTGCTCCTCTGATCTCTCTGCACTTGACACTCACTTCACCATCCGTGGTGTTGGCGGTGGGGGTCTGAAGTGACCAGAGCTTTGCTTTTCAGACAGTGGTATCACAGGGATGGAAATCTCTTCTCCCTCATGCAGAGACATTGGCAAAGCCACATCCTCATCTGGCCAGAGCCCTAGATTGGGCCTGGCCAAGTTTGCTCCCAGGAAACGGGGTGGGTTGGGAGTACAGGCACCCAGAGTCAGAAGGAAAGCTAGATGCCACCCACCAGCTTCAGACCCCACCCATGGTAGGGAGGACCCCCTCCCCTCCCCTCAACACCCCCAAATGAACACACGCGCTTTCCTGTCTTTGGTCCCATTCCCACCCCCCTTCCGTGCTGCTGACACCAGGGTGCGCCTTCCCGCGTCCCGGTCAGTCCTGCCCATGTTGGTCCGTCTGTCCACCCACCCAGCTGGGAGCCTGCGGGGCATTGTGCTAGGGGCTCGGGTCCCTCAGGGAGTTCCCACAGGGTAGTGGCCCCTCTTTTAGCCCCACTTCCCCGTCCGCCTGTCACCACTGCACATGCTGAGTGTTCTGCCAGGCAGGGAGCCTGAGTGACTGTGTCTGCTGCCCCAGGCCTGCCTTCCGAGGGGAGGGGCAGGCAGCCCTCTAGGCGCCATGTGGGTCTCAAGAACAGGGAAATACTGCTTTGAGGCCGCAGCCTCAGCCATCTGGGGAAGAAGGGGAAAGTCCACCCCACCCCTGGGTGCCGTGTGGGGTGGAGAGCTGGGGCCGAGGCTGGGACACATGTGCCCCAGAGAAGGCCGGTGAGAGTGGGCAAGGGCCCTGGGCTCGCCCCCTGCTTTATTCAGCACATCCCGGGCTTGGGGTTCGTGGGTGGTGGGGAGAGGCACCTGAGGAAGTTTCCACTGGGCAGTGGTGAGGGGCAGACAGAAATGCCCCAGTTTAGTCCCACCCCTGCCCAAGGGCCAGGGAGATCTATGCCTACCATGTTTCCCCGAAAATAAGACAAGGTCTTATATTTATTTTTCCTCAAGAAGACCCCCTAGGGCTTATTTTCAGGGGATGTGTTATTTTTTTTAAGTATGGTACAACCATCTACATTTATTCAAATATAGTTAAGTCGTCATCTTCTGGAACATCATCCTAACTCTCCAAACCCTGAATTCCATCCTGAATGTCTTGCGACTCTATTTCCTTTAGAGCCATTGGCCCCAGTCTCTCATGTGGAGCACTAGAGCTGTCACGGGGCGGATGAGAAGGGCTGCTCGCCTTCTTTCCCGCTCCGGGACGACACACGGGTTGTGCAGATGCTGCGCAGCCACGCCCGTCACTGGGGCTGATTTTCGGGGTAGGGCTTATCTTGTGCACATGCTTAGGCATCCTGCTAGGGCCTATTTTATGGGTGGTCTTATTTTCGGGGAAACACAGTAGTTGAAGGCCAGACCCAGAACTTTGAGAACATTGAGGGTCCCCTCCGTGTGGGGCGGGGGCGGGGAGAGGTATGGGAGCAGAGCTGCGAGGGAGGTGGGGCTGTGGAGTGACTGGGGCCACCTCAGAAAGGCGGGTCTGTCCTTCCTGCACGGCTGGCGAAGCTGCCTGTGTGGCCTCCTCCTCTTGTCAACGTTCACTATTACCAGTTATTTCAGACTGTCAATAAAGTGACCCAGCACACACCTATGCCTGTCACCTAAATTAAGAAATAAAACATGACAGGTGTAAATGAAAACTTTGGGGTACACCGCCTGGCTCAGAGGTAATTACTGTCCTCAATTTCTTTATACTTCTCTCACTCATAAGTTTGACTGACTTAACAATATCCAGAATTGAATTGCACATTTTTCTGGTGATCTTTTTGAGGTAAAATATATTTAACAAAATTTTAACCCTTTTTAAGTGTACAGTTCAGTGGCATTAAGTACATTCCCAGTGTTGTGGGCCATCACCACCATCCGTGTCCAGACGCTTTTTCATGCCCCCAAACCAAAGCTCTGCTCCTGTGAAACAAGAGCCCCCTGGTAACCTCTAATCTGCTTTCTGTTTGTATGAATTTGCCCATTCTGTGTGCCTCATGTAAGTGGAATGGCGCAGTCCTTGTCTTTCGGTATCTGGCTTATTTCACTTAGAATAATACTTTCAAGGTTTATTCATGTTTTAGCAGATGTCAGAATTTCATTCTAAGGTTGTTACTCAGTTTATCCTTTCAACTGTTGATAGACATTTGAGTCATTTCCACCTTTTTGCTATTGTGAATAATGCTGCTATAAACGTTACTGTAAAAGTATCTGTCTGAGTATCTGCTTTCTGTTCTTTGGGGTATATTCCTAAGAGTGGACCCGCTGGCCCCGTGGCAATTCTGTGTTAGCTCTGAGGAATTGCAGCCTGCTTTCCACAGCAGCCGCAGCGGTCTGCATTCCCGCCAGCAGCGGGCAGTGGTTCCAGTTCCTCCACGTCCTCATCAACACTTGTTTTCCATCTTGTTTTTGTTTTTACTGTAGCCATCCTAATGGGCATAAAGTGGTAACTCATTGTGGTCTTGCTTTATACTTCCCTAACCACTGGTGATGTTGAGCATCTTTTCATGTGTTTATTGGCCATTTCTATATATTCTTTGGAGAAATAAATGTCTTTTCAAGTTCTTTGGCCATTTTCTATTTGGCTTGTTTATTGTTGAGTTGTAGGAGTTCTTAGTATACCTTCTGGATATTAATCTCTTATCAGATATATGATTTGCTAATATTTTCTCCTATGGGTTGTCATTTCACTCTTGAGAGTGTCCTTTGATGCACTATGCTTTGCTCTATGTAATTATTTTAACTAAGTATTTTATAATGTTCATCTTGGTTATTTTAAAGTCTTTGATGATTCTAATATCTGGGTCGGTCATCCCTTGGTCTGGTTTTGTTAACTACTTTATCTCTTGATAAGGAGTCATTTGTTTGTCTTGCTTTTTTGTATGTCTCCTATTTTTTATTGAATGCTAGATCTTGTGTGTAACAGGATAGTAGAGACTGAGATAAATATTATTTATGCCTGGGAAAGGCATGCCTTTTATTCTGCCAGGTTGTTGGAGTGGAGTGTGGAGTCAGTCCAGTGGGGAGTTGAATGGTGGGCAGCTGATACCTTGTGCTCGTGTGGGACCTGGAGCCCTGAACAGTTCTTGTCAGTGTTCCTGCTTCAGACACAGGGTTTAGGAGCCCTGCCACTTCATCCTCCCTTGCTGCACACCAGGGGGAGGTGGAGGGGAAAGAGTGTTAGGTTGCTGTTGTTACTTGGCACAGGGCTCATGGAAGGGGTTTTGGGGATTTAACAGGGTTTTCTTTTGTTTTAGTCTCAGTCTAGGGCAGGCCCTGTAGGCAGAGTTTAGGTGGAGTAGGCCTTGTGAGTGGACCTTTCTCTGATGTCCTTGTGGAGATTTTGATGGCATACCCTGGTTCTTTTCCACCTCTGTGCACTAAGTATGTTGGGATTGATTGATTCAATGTTGTTGGGAAAGACCCTGCAAAAGCTATTGCCGCTTCCCTGTTAAACTCCACAACGCCACGGAGTGATATTGGAACAGGGTAGCCCTGACCCTGTGGCCTGCAGAGAGCCCCTCTGGCGCATCCCACAGCCCCTCTGGTCAAACGCTTTGAGTCTGTAGTCTCGTGCCTCTCACCCTGATCTTGTCTCAGTTACTTATTTAAGTCTGGTCCTTAACCCTGGCCCTAGACCATCAGTTTTGAGGGTAGATTTCTTTATATGTATTACTAGAGAAAAAACGGTGCCTAGCAGCTGGTAGGGGCTGAGTGGCAGTCACAAATGGGTGCCAGCGGGTGCACCCATGGGTGGGTGTTTGCTTTCTCCTCCTGTAAACCCCTTCCCTGCCAGGCCTGCCAGCAGGTAACTCCTGCCCGGCCTCCAGGTGCATGCACGATGGCACAGGGAAGACGTTCACCTCTAAGGCTGGGTAGGGGCCTTTCTCCTGGCCCCACCCGCCCTGTGCCTGTCCATCCCAGCACAGACATAACAGTACTGAACTCCTCCCAGTTCCCCAGGGTGGTGACCATGGGGACTGGACCTGCCCTGCCTGGCCCGGGCAGGCCCTTGGTGGGCGTGCTGTGGGCCCTTGCTGCACCAGTGTGGCTGCCCAGCTTTGGGGGACTGATTCTACACGTCCTGCGGAATTAAGATTTTCTTAAACCCTTTTTCTTGTTTTAGGAAAAAGCGAATCACCTCAGCCCCTTCCGTGGATAAGAGGACTTGGGCTGGAGGCATGTGGTGTGCCCTCCGAGGCTGGAGGCAAGGGCTCCTAGGCCTGCATGGAGCCCTGGCACGGGGAGCCCTGGGGCAGCGGCAGCTCCCGGGCCTTTGGGCTCGAGCGCTGGCCAGCATGGGTCCCCAGAGCGGGGACGAGTACAGCTACGTGGTGGTGGGTGCAGGCTCCGCGGGCTGTGTGCTGGCCAGACGGCTCACAGAGGACCCCAGTGAGCACGTGCTGTTGCTGGAGGCCGGGCCCAGGGACTTGTATGCAGGGAGCAAGCGGCTCCTGTGGAAGATCCACATGCCTGCGGCCCTCGTGGCCAACCTGTGCGACAACAGGTACAACTGGTGCTACCACACGGAGCCGCAGCCGGGCCTGGACGGCCGGGTGCTGTACTGGCCTCGCGGCCGAGTCTGGGGAGGCTCCTCGTCCCTCAATGCCATGGTCTACATCCGTGGGCATGCTGAGGACTACAACCGCTGGCACCGCCAAGGCGCTGAGGGCTGGGACTACGCGCACTGTCTGCCCTACTTCCGCAAGGCGCAGGGCCACGAGCTGGGTGCCAGCAGGTACCGTGGCGGCGATGGCCCCCTGCGTGTGTCCCGGGGCAAGACCAACCACCCACTGCACCAGGCGTTCCTGGAGGCGGCACAGCAGGCTGGCTACCCCCTCACTGAGGACATGAATGGCTTCCAACAGGAAGGCTTCGGCTGGATGGACATGACCATCCACGAAGGTAGTGTGTGGCCACCCTTCCCTGTCTCCCTAGCTCCTCCTTTAAAAAAAAAAGAAGCCGCCCCCCGCTGTGGTCAGTGAGCGTGGACAGGCTGAGGCCGGAGCAGTGGAAGGGGTGGGACTTTTGCATGCCTGGATGCAACGGAGCACAACACAAAGCCCGGTGAGAAGCAGCCGGGGATGGTGACACAGTGGACATTCTCTGCGCCTCTGGCCCCTGTTGGCGTGGAAAATGGAGTCAGAGGGCAAAGAGAGAATTACAAATGGGGAAACTGAGGCACAGGGCAGTAGCAAGGAGCACATGGCCCTCTTTCTCCCTCTCTCTGGCTCCTTTCCTCACTGGAGCCATGTCTATCCTTTATGGGTAGGGAAACTGAGGCACGGTGGTGCTGGGCCTTACAGCAGGACAGAGGCGAGGCCAGGCTGCTCTGGGGCTCCTGCCTGCTTCTTCAGGGTTCTCTCCTTCGGGCCGTTGCTCCTGGCCTTTGTGTCATCCTGTCAAGGGCAAAGGTTATTTTTCCACCTGCACCTAGGGGCCCCAGGCAGATGTGGACTGCAGTAGGGCAGGTCTTTTGTTCTGAGCCTCACGGAGAAGGCAGGGCTTGCACAGTCAGGCAGACACATGTGCTCCCCCCAGCCCCTCCCTCCTGCCCAGGCTGATCTTGCTCCGTCATACAGGCAAGCGCTGGAGCACGGCCTGTGCCTACCTGCACCCAGCCCTGAGCCGCCCCAACCTCAGGGCTGAGGCCCGGACGCTTGTGAGCAGGGTGCTGTTCGAGGGCACCCGGGCAGTGGGCGTGGAGTATGTCAAGAACGGCCGGAGCCACAGGGTGAGTGAATGGCACTGGGGGCAGGACAGGCGTGGGCAGGAACCCTGGTGGTCAGGCTTAGGGTGGGCGGAAGCCACACACTCCTCCTGGCTACACACTCTCATCCCTGGGATGAGGGGTGAGCAGCTGGTGGCAATGGCCTGATGGCTTGTCCCTAGGGCCTCACAGGAAACGGTGGGCTGGTGGAGGTGAGGGAGTCCCTAGCCCCGCCACCTGCAGAGGGTCCATGGTGCCCCAGCGTGGTGCCGCGGAGCCTCTGTCTGCTACACCCACCTTAGAGCGGCCCCCGGTGCCTTCCACATGTCCCAAGGCGCTGACCTAACAGAGCTGCAAGTTTATGCTAGAGGCTGGAACATCCAGGAATGGGATCGTGCTCTGTGTCTCTGCAGTGGCAGCAGCGTGTCAGGTTGTTTTACACCCATGTGCCCATCTGGCTCACTGCTGCCTTGTTCAGACCACTTGCTTTCATCTACTCATGCAAGCTTCCCTGTGCCGTTTGGGTTTGGAGACCCTGGTTACTGTCTGGCTGTGGCGGAATGTACTTGATCACGACACACCGTTGCATGTGCAGGTTGCTTTCCAGTGGTCACCCCGCTAACTCCTCTCCTTGACCCTGGCCTGTGAGCCAGCTCACCACTGCCACCGCAGCAGTGCCCCCCAGCGCGGCACATGGCTCGACACGCCATGCTCTCATGGTGCTGGCTGCAGCGGCACCGGCCCATGAGTCAGGAGAACAGCTGGCTTCGCAGGAGGTGTGACCTGGCTGCCCTCTGCCCCTTCCAGGCTTACGCCAGCAAGGAGGTGATTCTGAGCGGAGGCGCCATCAACTCTCCGCAGCTGCTCATGCTGTCGGGTGTCGGGAATGCAGATGACCTCAAGAAGCTGGGCATCCCTGTGGTGTGCCACCTGCCCGGTGAGCCCCTTCATCTTCCCCAGAGGCTGTCTCTGCTTAACAAAATAGCTTCTTGCATTTTATCAGCACGGAGCAGGGAGGTGGTGACAGCCCGTGCTCTGTGGAACTGTCACATCCTTCCCATGAGCCCAGAGTTCCCCAGGCCTCGCCAGACACCCTTACCCTGCACCCTGAGTCTTTGTGCTGTTTCCTTCTCCGTCCCTGGCCACCCCATCCCACTGGGAGGAGAACGCCCTCTGGCAAGGAGTGTCTGCCGCGAAGCCCCACAGGCTGGGTGCGGCCGTCACCAGACAGCTCTGTGGTGAGAGGGCTCCAGGCTCTGTTCCCGCCCACGGTACTCACCAGCTGCGTGGCATTAATGAGGTCGGCTCAGCACCGCGGAGCCTGCCCTCTCCATCAGACCTGAACCTTGTGTCACAAGCTGTCTCCTTGCAGGCCTGGCTCCGTCTCTTGCCCTCTGTAAGCCGCAGTCCCAGCGGGCCCTTGTGCACACAGGCTTCCTCGCGAGGGGCTGTGGGGTGCAGCCCTGTGACGGTGGCCCGCCCGCAGGGCTTCCTCCTTCCCCAGGCCGGGCTGCTGTCCGCATTCAGCGACAGCTCGCAAGCAAGGCCTGCTGCAGGCGCGGCCCGCCGCGTGGAGGGCGCTGCCGAGCCGGTGGACGGGGGCACCTGGAGGCCGCCCTGCAGCGTGGGAGAGAGCTGGGCTTGGCAGGCCGCGTGGTGTCTCTGCCTTTGAGCTGAGACCTGGGGACTGAGCAGGAGCTGGCCCAGAAAATTAGTGGATGGGGAGAAGTTCTCAAAACCAGGAGAGTGTGGAGAAGCCAGCTAACCCCCGTGGCAGCCACGTTTCCTGACCGCTCCTTCCCGATTCAGGAGTCGGCCAGAACCTGCAGGACCACCTGGAGGTGTACGTCCAGCAGGCGTGCACCCGCCCCATCACCCTGCACTCAGCACAGAAGCCCCTGCGCAAGGCCTGCATCGGTCTGGAGTGGCTCTGGAGGTTCACAGGTGGGCACTCGCCCGTGGCCTGGGTGGAGAGGGTCTGTGGGCATGTGGCCTTCTTCACAAGCAGCCGAGCTAGGGCTCCGGCCTCAGGGTGCTGGGTTCAAAGCTGAACTTTGCCATTTGCTATAGCCCTGAGCCTCTATTTTCCCATCTGCAAAATGGGGACATGCAGTTCCTGCCCAGTGGGCTGCTGTGAGGACTGGAAGCAGTGGCTCACACCACGGAGCTCAGCACAGGTTCTGCTCAAAGCGAGACTGCACAGGGGTTAGGTGCTGCTCTTCCTTATGGGTGGACGTGGGTGTCCTTGAGCCAGAACCACATGGGCGCCAAGGAGCCAGAGCAGAGGTACAGAGGAGACCTGCCAGGCTGAGAAATAGGCACCCATCTTTCAGCATTTCCGTTTGTGTTCTAGCTGTGTCTCAGTACTGCCTAGGCCAGGAAATGGCATTTGAAGTCCTCCTCGTTCATTCAGCCTACGTTTCTCGCACACCTACTGTGTGCCATGTGCTGTGCTGGGTGGCAGGCCCGGCCTGGTAGAGGGCCAAGCAGAAGCCCCCGTTTGGCACGGCGTGGAAATGGGACGCTGAGGTGCTGGGAGAGCCGCCTGGGAGGAGGACAGATGCGGACAGAGCTTGGGCCCAGGCCTCGGCATGGAGGCCAGGAGAAAGGAGGTCGCCCTGAGTGGCTCTTCTGCTTTTCTGATCCTCAGGGGACGGAGCCACTGCCCATCTGGAAACAGGTGGCTTCATCCGCAGCCAGCCTGGGGTCCCCCACCCGGACATCCAGTTCCACTTCCTGCCGTCCCAAGTGATTGACCACGGGCGGGTCCCCACCCAGGAGGATGCTTACCAGGTGAGCAGATGGCGTCCTGGCCCCGTGGACACTCCCTTCCCCCTTTGGTAAGGGAAGATGCTCTCATCTTCTGCAGCAGCAAGAGCTTCAGGGTAGCAGGCACAGAAGCCTGTCCCCTGCCCTCCAGCTGCCCAGCGTGCCAGGTGGGGAGAGGAGCAGGGAGCCCAGAGAGGCAGTCTGTGCGATGCATGCAAAGGTGTGACCACACCAGCTTGGGGCAGATATTCCAGGTCCCAAGGACCGGCAGTGGGACAAATGAGCCTGGCTGGGCCCCAGGGTTGCCACCCCTGGAAGTTCGGACAGCGGAGCAGAAAGCCAGGAGGAAGGAGTGATTCATCACAGTAGTTTTTAACCGCCTGCGGAAGGCGGGTAGGATGCAGGCAAGTGCTCGAATGCCTCTGCTCCTAACTGGCTCTGGAAGCAGAGGCCCACCCCGCAGGACGACCAGGACCTCTCTGAGCCGGGGGTGTCGATGGGGGTCACTGCTTCCTCTGGGTTCTCCTAGGTACACGTGGGGACCATGCGGGGCACGAGTGTGGGCTGGCTCAAGCTGAGAAGTGCCAATCCGCAGGACCACCCGGTGATCCAGCCCAACTACTTGTCAACAGGTAATTCAGCAGCCACCTTCGTCCAGCCTGGACGTGAATGAATGAATGCCGGTGGGGGTTCCTGTTTGTCCCTGAGTCTTGCAGAGCTCTGGGCCACACCTGGAGACACAAGTTACCCTCTGCCCTCCCCCTGCCTAGCATTCCAGCTGTCAACTTGCACTGCTACTCCGTAGTGTTCTGGGTCTTCACTTGACACTGGGAGAGATTTGCGGCTTTCAGAACACGGGGTGCAGGGAGGCCTGGCTGTGCTCACACAGCACTTTTCCTGCCGCCACTTGAGCAGCCTCCAAAAGCAAATTATGTCTCTGGGCCTGCCTCTTTGCAGGCAGCAAGAGCGAGCACTCCCCATCTGCTCACGGCCACCCTGGGCAGGGGCAACACGTGAGGTCATCTCTCTGCCTTTGGGGCGGGCTGTGTCTGTCTGGCGCCGCCTGTTAGCTTCCCAGGACTCTGCGTGGTTGCAGCCTAACCACCCGCGGGCAGGTGACAAGCAACTCGGTGACTCAGTCCTCCATGTCCCTGAACTTCGTCCCCAAACCCTGTCCCCTCAGGCACTTACTGAGGCCACGTGGTAAGAGGGGGAGCCTCACCTGTGTCTTCTCCTTGACAGAAGCAGACGTTGAGGACTTCCGTCGGTGTGTGAAGCTCACCAGAGAAATTTTTGCACAGGAAGCCCTGGCTCCATTCCGGGGGAAAGAGCTCCAGCCGGGAAGCCACGTTCAGTCAGATGAGGAGATAGATGCCTTTGTGCGGGCGAAAGCCGACAGTGCCTACCACCCCTCGTGCACCTGCAAGATGGGCCAGCCCTCCGACCCCGCTGCCGTGGTGGACCCGCAGACCAGGGTGCTCGGGGTGGAAAGCCTCCGGGTCGTCGACGCCTCCGTCATGCCCAGCGTGGTCAGCGGCAACCTGAACGCCCCCACGGTCATGCTCGCGGAGAAAGCAGCCGACATTATCAAGGGGCGGCCTGCACTGTGGGACGAGGACGTCCCTGTCTACAAGCCCAGGACCCTGGACACCCAGCGCTAAGGCAGTCACTGCCCTTGACAAGCCCAGAGGGCCAGCACAGCCCTTGCTCCAGCTCTCCTTCCTGAAACTGTCTGGAACGTTAGGACCCGGGAGCCACCCTACTCCGTGCCTGAGAATTGGATAATTTCTTGGGAAATAAGACCGGTATTGGGCAGAGAATCAAGCTTTTTCTTGGCGTTTCCCTGTGGGCCCTTTGGGGAAGGCCAGGATTCAGGCTGCGGCCTCTCCTCCCTGCCTCCTAGAGGGACAGTAGAGGCGGTGGGTTCACTCCTGCCACATCCTTGACTTGTGTCCTGGGGGTGCCCTCTAACGCAGGGCCCTGCTGCCTTGAGTGTGGTCTTCCCCGGCGCCCTCCTTGGGCAAGGCCCGAGAGCAGGTGTGGGCTCCCCGGGCAGAGGCAGCCTCAAGCTCCTGGCGAGGCTGGGGCTGCACCTACGTGCCCAGTGTCCCTGCTCAGAGGGAGGGCTGCCTGCCGGCAGGAAAGCAGACTGTTTCTTTCTCTTGCTTCCTAGTTTCACTCCCAAAGTGAGGCGGGTAACTGGGGCTCTGCTGGGTCTCGGGGCGGGGGGTAGGAGGGTGACCTACTTCTCCAGAGCGCTGGTTCTTGCTAAACACGATCAGCCATGCCGAGAGGCGAGAGGCTTTCGGGACCTTATTCAAGGAGAGAGGGGTATGGAGAGAATGCCACTTGGCTTCACTACCAGAGGTTCCACGACTTAGCATTGTAAAAGCAGAGCGAACTCCATGTACCAGATCGCGGCTTCATGCTGAAGCAGCTGGCCCGAGAAAGGACTCGCACACGGGCCTGGGAAGCGACTCAGCGCCAGCACCACAGCAGCGGACAGGGCTGGCTGGTTGCTATCCTCTAGACATCCACGCGAGCAGGCCTGGGAGGAGCTGAGACTGATGGAAAAAGCACTTAAGGACAGGCACCTGGACCCTGTAGCAATGCCATTGCATGAAAGAAAAATAGTTTTTGTGGGGGAAAAACAGATGCAAGTAGCATTTAACATTTTATAGAACTCTTTGATCTTTAAATTTCTTACTATTCAATAATGTGATCCAGTAACTTATTTCTGAACTGAGATGTCTTATCCAGACTGTTCGTACACGATAACGCACAGTAACTGCATTCTGGCTGGATCTTTCTGAAGATGCCCACAGCTGCCGCCCTCTGGGTCCCGGCACGGCCTGCAGGGGTGTCGGAGAGCACGAGCTAATGCGGGTAAGGGTGGGGTCCAGGCTGGCCCGTGACTGCACTGACCCTCCTCCCGTGGCAGGCGACATTTAGTTCTGCCGTCTCTGCGTCCTGTGGTGTGTCAGCCCGAGACAGTGGTGGATTCAGGCGGCAGCCATGTTTTGAGATAAGCAGAACGACATGTGGTAAGAGGCACTCATCTGGCGTGTTGCTCAGTGGCTTCCAGGCCCCTCACCCTCAAACACTCAGGCGTGTTCCACACGGTCGCACGATTTAGCCATACATGGAAACGAGCTTCAGAAGAAAAGCGGCAAGCGTCACACATCCAGAACCCGTCTGAAAAGTGTCCTGCTATCAGGGCGCCTTTTGCCCCGGACAGAGTGGCCGCGGAAGCCAGAGGAGGGAGGCTACAAAGTGGGGCGTGCAGGCTCTGCTGGCTTTAGCCTCGTGGGGAATCAGGCCCCTTGGCAAAAACCCTGTAATATCTAAAAAACAGAAGAAGGTGCTTTGGGGAAAAAAATGCTTCTAAGAGTACAACAGAACACTGTGCATGTGCCCAGAGCCCTGAAGAGCCCTGCCCCATGGAAGAAGCCTGTGTGTAAGCCACAGACCACGCCAGGGGACGGGCAGGCTCGGAGCAGCTGCCTGGAGCTGTGGGCTCCCGTGAGTACGGCCCTTCTGCTAACAGCGCAGGCACAATAACTTCATAGATTCAAACAGATTCTTCTCTCCAGCCAAACCTTGTCATCATCCCAGAAATTATGTTTCCACTGATAAGCCATATTAACATCAGATTGAACACATAGATTTTTTTCACTTAAAAATCAGAAAAATACACCCTTCACCAGGCCAGGCTGTCCCAGACCACTCTATCACTCCTGTTCTGATGTTGGAAGCCAGGGCCTAGGCCTGCTCTGCCTCCTCCTCCTGCCCCTGCCCTCCCAGTCCCTAATAGAGGAGGAGAGAGATCATTTTAGAGAAATAAAAGCCTTTTCAATGAATGAAAGCATAGCTACAGTCGGTTTTTGAGTCAGGGTGGGCGGGGCGGGGAGCTGGGGCTGTGCGTGCAACATCAGTTCTGTTGCTAGCCAGTTTTTTAAGTCGACCACCTGCCCTCGGACAACTAAAAGCCGGTGTAGGAAGACGAGATGGGCAGAGACACTTAAGGCTGCAAAAAGAACACAATGCGAAATAAGACAGGCTGCTCTGGCTGCTGTCACAGAGTGGGCCAGCAGTGAAGTGGGACCCACACCCTCCCCGTGCAGCCAGAGCCCCGGGCCTCACAGCCGGCCCCCACCGGACAGCGCTGGGAGGTGCTGCCTGGCTGAGCAGGGGTCCAGCTCTTCGGGTGGGAATCAGTGAGGTTCTCACTGCCGGCTGGTGATTAGATCATCGCTGCCATTTCCGTTCTGTGAGGTCACGAGAAACACAAGATCCAAGAAACTAAATGTGCTGTTCCTGTGGGCACGGTTATTGTTTTGTGGGGCAGGGGAAACCAAAAAGGAGAGACATTTATTCTTAAAACTTTCCTAAAACAAAGGAAAAAAACATGCTCTACAACTTCAAATTTTTCTTCCAAAGAAAAATTTAATATTAGATGAGAGGTCGAACCAGGCTTAAAGCAGACAGAGATTAGGAAGTGATGCAGCCTGTAAAAATGCCAGTTTTTGAGTACTGACTTTGGAAAAGACCACCACCTACACCAGACGCTCGGGGCCTGGTGCGGCGATTCTGGCTTGATGGCGTTAAGCCACACAGTAAGACCGATGCCCAGCGGAGAGACACAGAGTCCAAGGTAATGTTGACCGTGGTGTAGCCCTTTAGGAGAAACGGTCATCCCTGCAGCTGGTGTGAAGTTACCGCCGGCACCGAAGGAGCCAGGAGGATGAGAAGGAGCCCGTGTGGTCACAGAACGGCCGGGCAGAGCACCTGCCCCTCAGAAGCTCCTGTGGGCGCACGCCAGCCCTGTGCGAGGAGAGCTCCCAGATGTGACAAAATTATTACACAGTTTGATTCTGAAGAACATTTTGCATTTTAATAAAAAAGGATTTATGTCAGGAAATAGTCATTTACAAACCTTGAAGTGTTTTTGCCTGGATCTGGAGTAAGAATGTCTTAAGAAGAGGTTTGTAAGGTTTTTATAACAAAGTGGTGTTATTTACAAAAGCAAAACCAGAAAAACCCAAAATACATTAACAGGTCGTCTATGATCTATTTAAAAGTTTTGAACCAAAATTGCAACCTATCTTTTATGATTGTGGGAAATCTCTGCCAAGGTAACTTGACAAAATCAGCATAATTCAGTTAACAGAAAAGGAAGCCTTGACGGTTCTAATGATGCCAAAGTGGGTTTCATCAGGACGTACAATCGGAGTGTGAGTGCATTCTAATGGAAACTTCAGCCCTCGTTCAATTGCATATAAAAGCCCTCAAAGAGAACACACAGTACAGCAACGTTGTGTAAAAGGCAACAATACGATTTGTACAGACCCCGACATTCTAATCCTATAGGTCATCCTGTTGCTCCCTGTCCCCCTACCCCAGCCCCTTCAGACAAGCAGCACCGGTCCCCAGGGGACAAGAGCAAGCGCGCTTCATTTGCCTGTGTATTTCTGCACCAGAGATGCAAAAACATCCCATGTGGGCAGCTGAGAAACCCAAAGTCTTAGATGCCACAGGGGCAGAGCGGGCCAGCTCGACCTACCAGAGGGTTATTAAAACAAAAGACAGCCGCAACCTACAGTGGAAAAGGTACAATATCAAAATTATAGAACTCTTGCCCAAAGAAAAGATTGCAAATAGTCATCTGGTATATCTTGGGTAAAGATATGTTTATAATGACTGTAAATATATTTTTTAAATTTCTGTAGTGTCAAGTTCTTTTGAACTCAAAATTTTGCCCCCAAAGGATTTTCACTGAATAAATGAGAATTGGCTCTATTTCTTCTACTTCTGTATAGCCCAAGTAAAAATACTAATAATTTCTAGATTTCAGTGGGGAACTACAATTATTAGGACCCATGGATATTGCTGCAGTTCAAATACGGTACAATAATTACAAAATATAGACCATCTCTTTACAAATACAAATTATAGTATATTACAAATCATGTACAATAAATCTATAATTTTTAAACAAACTAGCATATCTAAGTTTACCTGGTTGCGAGTGCATTATTCCAGTTTACAGTTGCCCTTCGCGTGACAGTCAGAAACCGACCATCTGAGTGATGTTCTCGTATGTAAACTGGCGCATGTAACAGAAACCGTGTGTGTAGGGTCCCGCTGCCCTCTCGCGACGCCCGCTGGTAGGTGGCTCTGGCCTCCTCACTGTGCTGCAGAAGCCCAGCAGGAGCCAGGGAGCAGTGAGTGTGTCCGGGAAGGGCCGGCGAATGGAGGCGCCGGCCCGTGGCTGTCTGGTATGCTAGGCCGAGGGCTGAGGTAATGACACAGGTGTGGTGATGGTCATCACCTGTAACCTTCCCCCCACCACACCTTCGGCGGGTGGGCACAGGGCCCCACGTGCGGGAGACGCAGCCGCCAGGGCGGTGCTGCTGGGACAGTCGGGCAGGCCTGTCTGCCCTGTTCACCCTTCCCCTCCGGGAGGGCCGACCCGCGTCTCCTGCCGCCAGGCCAAGCGCGCCGTGCACTGCTGGGCTCTGCCACTCAGCACCTGTTCTGGCCAGGTTTATGGCTTTCTTGAGGCATGGCATCACTCGTACAAAAGTCTAACTGAACATTGACTCCCAGCCAGTGCCCAACGTCCCCAGCTACGAGGCACTTTTCCCGGCCCCGGCCCCTCCTGAGGCTGGCCAGTCTGTCCCCGGGGCTACAAGGTGGTGATGCATATCATCTCGTCTGCCAGGTCCTCCTCTTCTCTGCCCGGGTCCGGCTCCTCGTCGCTGTAGCCAGGGCCAAAGTCCTGGAGCTCATAGTCCTGCCGGTGGGAGACGGGGCCCACGTCCCCGTTGGCTCGGGGCCGCGCGCTGCCGTTAAGCAGGGTGCTGGCCGCACTCTCCATCTCGTCGATGGTCAGGTCGCAGGCATCGGCGATCTCGTGTTTTGTTGCCGACACAAATTTTGGGTCCCTTGCGTAGCGTCCTAAGCCTTCAGATATCAAGACCTGTGCAGGAAAGGATTAATGGTTGGGGAGGGGAAATGACAGAAAGATCAGCTTGAGCACGCACCGTAGCACGTGCTTTGGGGACTCGACCTCATTCGTGAGGCCCCTCACGTAAGCTGCGTTGGCTTTGGAAATGTCATGGGGCTGGAAACTACACATGGCCCCACCACGAGTGTTCCCCCTAATGGGGGAAAATTAAGCATAAACCAGTGATGTCTGCAGGAGCAGCACGCTTATGAGAATCAGCAGTGGCAGCCAGTTTTCCTTGTGCTTTAAACACGTTCAAGCTGCTGAGAAGTGTCCGGCCGAGGCAGCCTGGCCCCGGAGCCCGCCCCCTGTGCCCGAGAGCCATACTCACCGCCTCCACCAAGCTGTCTGCGCTCCTCTGCTTGTCGCTGTTCTTGTTCCGGAAGCTGCTGGGGACGGTCAGGCTGGCTGGTGTGAAAGTCCGATAGGAGATGTCGGGCTCATCTGTGTACCAGGAGCTGCGGTGCAGGGACGGCAGGCTGCCGTTGACCTGGTCCAGGGACTCTGACCGATCCACCTGGATCAGCGGGGTGTAGCATGGTGTCCAGTCCCGGTATGGAGGGGTTGCTGGAGGTGTGGCCCATGACCGGGTTGAGTGACTCGGCGAGTACTTCTGGGCTTTACTGGAATCTAGGCCTGCAACTGCCATGATCTGGGGAGAGAGGGGAGGGTGGGGACACCAGAGGTCCGGGCCTCATGCCCCTCCAAACAGACCGAGCCCAAGTGTGGGTGCTGCTCTGTCCTTTCAAGGGGCATGACCGCTAGAGCACACTAAATGAACTGGCAGAGTGTGGCTTTCAGGAGGCTGTGCTTTCTCTCCCCCAAATCCCTAGTGCATTTCCGATGCCTGTTCCCAAGGAGTCACCAGTTGCTCGTTTGTGGAACTGCTGCCGACTGAGAAAGAATCAGGGAAGACAGGGCTGTGTGCGCAGACCACGCGGTCCACACTGCACCTCAGTGCTGTGTGCGTGCAGAGAGAACTGCCGATTCCAGCGCGGCAGGGAACCCAGCCGCTGCCCTGCTGTGTGCAGCTAGCCCAGCACCAGCACTTGGTCTGTCCTAGAGCAGCGGCTGCACGCCCTGCCCTCTCAACCCCACTGCGGCAGACCCACCCTGGGACCCCCACTCTGCAGGGAGAGGTGCTGAGGCCCAGCCTGCGCAGACAGCACAGGTCCCTGGCCAGGACCGCCGGAGGGAGGCGCTGAGCCGACCTGGGCCTGGTCAGGTGGAGGAGAGGGAAGTATGTTCCATGCATGTGCCCCGTACAGATTTCCGTGCCGCTTGGTTCATGGCATCAGGCGGCCTGGGCCTTCCCAGGTTGTCCTTCCGTGACACAGGGCAGAAATAAAACTCAGCATAAAAAGTGAAGGCAGAGAAGTAAAAAGGTGGCAAAGAGACTTGAGCAGAAAATCTGAAATGGCAGCAGAGTGTTCCCATGCTCAGGACTCTCGGGGCCAGAGCCTGCAGGGAGACCTGGCTCTGCCCACTGGCTGGCTGCGCTCACTGCGTGCTGGAAGCTCCCTCGACCACGCCCATCCCCCCACATGAACGGATGGCATCTCTGATGTGATATTTTCGGAAAGAAAAAGTGCCATATTCTTTTTTTTTTTTTTTTTTTTTGAGACAGAGTCTCACTTTGTTGCCCAGGCTGGAGTGAGTGCCGTGGCGTCAGCCTGGCTCACAGCAACCTCAGTCTCCGGGGCTCAGCGATCCTCCTGCCTCAGCCTCCCGAGTAGCTGGGACTACAGGCATTCGCCACCATGCCCGGCTAATTTTTTGTATATATATTTTTAGTTGGTCAATTAATTTATTGCTATTTTTGGTAGAGACGGGGTCTCGCTCAGGCTGGTTTCGAACTCCTGACCTTGAGCAATCCGCATGCCTCGGCCTCCCAAAGTGCTAGGATTACAGGCATGAGCCACCACGCCCAGCCTTCACCAAAAGTGCCATATTCTTGTCCTCGAGGCAGAGCCCTGGTGAGTGGGCTCCGGCTGCACCCACCTTCTTGTCCAGCCACCCTCACTGTGGACGGGTCATTCTCCCTGGACCGCACCTCTGGTCCCTGGTTGGCGGGCAGGAGGCTCACCCACCTTCTCCCCCACAGGGCTCTTGCTCACAGACAGCTCTGTACACTTGTCTTAATGAAGGAACCACTTCTCGGAGCAAATAAAGGGCTGTTCCGATTGTCCACAATCAGTCAAGTGGCCCCACTTCCGAGGCCAAGACTGCAGCTAGCCCTGTGTTCAAAGCCAAGAAGAGGTGCCGAGCGGGGAGACTGTGCACCAGCCAGAGACTGGCTTTGGAAGCCGACTCTGTGGATCCAGATACCAGCGGGGCACTCAGCCGCGTGAGCCCGGCAGATGGGTGGCCGGGTTGTTACAGGACTGAACCAGCCTGCAGGTGAGGGTTCGCTCCTTCCTGGTGCTGGTGGCCGAGGGGAAGAGAGTGTCCTGAGGGTGGGCCCTACACAGGTATGCCCCGGGCTGGGGGGCCGGCTTACCTGTTGCTGCATCAGGTGCAGAGGCAAGGCCGTGCGGTGGGGGAAGGCAGGGGACAGGGGCACCTCCTCCTGGCTGCTCTGCCGCCGCAGGCACTCGAAGTTGAAGGAGGATCTCCGGTGGGCTAAGAAGGCAAAGCACACCTACAGTCGTGATGCGAGTTCTGTGGGGACACTGCGGTGCCTCAGGAGTCACCCCCGACACTCAACAGGGAACCCGGGAAGAAGCAAGCAGAATGCCCAAGAGAAAGAATTATGTAGTAGGGTCTCTAAAGTTTGGGAGGGGAGAATGGAGGAAAAAGCCCAGTGTTTCTCAGAAGTACAAACTTGGCAGCTTTAAATATCTGCCTGCTCCTAGGAGGAGCTGAGGCTCCCACAAGCCAGGACGCAAGTCAGGAGCCGTGGCCCTGCGTGCTGTGGGGAACACGGCACCTCAGTGCCACCACCAGTCACTCCAGGACCCCACGGACACTGCCTGCTGCCACCTCCCAGACACCCTGTATCCCTGGGGGCTGGGGT